AGACCTGTGCAGGTCTGAAGACCTCTAAAGGTCTCCTGCAGACCTGTGCAGGTCTGAGGACCTCTAAAGGTCTCCTGCAGACCTGTGCAGGTCTGAGGACCTCTAAAGGTCTCCTGCAGACCTTCAGTGGTCATAATGTTCTGGCTGATAAATGCATATTTGTAACAAATAAAAATGTAAACAAGAAACAAACTTTAACACATTAAATACATCTGAAGTTAATTTTGTTTAAATTCACTCTGAATATAAAAGTTTTTTATTTTTCTGAACATAAATTTAAACTTTTATGAATTATTTATATTTTGTTTGTTACGAGTTTCATCTGATCTCAACCTGTCATTTTTATGAGACTCATTTTAAAACGCATAATTTTCATAAATCTCCCACGAAACGTTAAAAGGCAGTAAAATGTTGCCGCAGTAAAAAATCTTCCTCACATTCTTTCATTATGGGTGTGGATCAAAGCCCCGCCCCCTCACCTGCACCTCAGCCCACCTGGATGTCTTTAAAAGCGGCGTGTGTGCGTCTCCCCTCACTTCTCTCCTCTCCTGAGAAGACAGACAGCACCTCCTCCTCTTCATCATGGCGACCACGATGTACTCCTCCTCCTCCAGCAGCTTCATTGGGGGCGGCGGCCTGGGTCTGGGCCGAGCGTCCCTGGGTGGCGGCGGCGGCAGAGGCATGAGCTCCTACAGCGTGTCCGGGGGGGCAGGGGGCGGCGGCATCAGGGTGTCCCGGGCCAGCCAGTCCTTCTCTGCCGGAGGCGGGGGCTACGGCTTCGGTGGAGGCGCAGGTGCAGGGGCAGGTTTCGGCTTTGGTGGAGGAGCAGGTGGAGGTGGAGGTGCAGGGTTTGGCTTCGGAGGGGGTGCAGGTGGGGGCTTCGGTGGCGGAGGGGACGACAGCGTGATCGGCAACGAGAAGTTCACCATGCAGAACCTGAACGACCGTCTGGCCAACTACCTGGCGAAGGTGGCGGCACTGGAGAAGGCCAACGCTGACCTGGAGCTGAAGATCCGGCAGTTCGCTGAGACCAAGATCAGCCCCTCCGCCAGGGACTACAGCCACTTCTACACCACCATCGCTGAGCTGCAGGGCAAGGTGAGTCAGCAGGGGGGTGGGACTCTGACCTGCAGGGGGGCGGGACTCTGACCTGCAGGGGGTCTGCATTCAGAAAAAGTTTAAATCTTCTGATAAAAAACTCCAACAGAACAAACACATTTAAAACGTCTAAAATAATTAAGAAACATTTAGATTTATGTTAGAGGAAAAAACACCAAGTTTAACCAAATATGGTACTTCCTGTGTTCCACCAACCAGGTGAGTCAAACAAAAAGATTCAGTTTAAATCAGAGAGAAGTCCACCTGGACTGGAAGACTCAGGTGATCACACCTGTGTGCGTGCGTGGATACATGTGACCCACACCTGTGTGTGTGGATACATGTGACCCACACCTGTGTGCGTGGATACATGTGACCCACACCTGTGTGCGTGCGTGGATACATGTGACCCACACCTGTGTGCGTGGATACATGTGACCCACACCTGTGTGCGTGGATACATGTGACCCACACCTGTGTGCGTGGATACATGTGACCCACACCTGTGTGCGTGGATATATGTGACCCACACCTGTGTGCGTGGATATATGTGACCCACACCTGTGTGTGTGTGGATACATGTGACCCACACCTGTGTGTGTGTGGATACATGTGACCCACACCTGTGTGCGTGGATCCAGGTGACCCACACCTGTGTGCATGGATCCAGGTGACCCACACCTGTGTGTGCATGGATCCAGGTAACCCACACCTGTGTGTGCATGGATCCAGGTAACCCACACCTGTGTGTGCATGGATCCAGGTAACCCACACCTGTGTGTGCGTGGATCCAGGTAACCCACACCTGTGTGTGCGTGGATCCAGGTAACCCACACCTGTGTGTGCGTGGATCCAGGTGACCCACACCTGTGTGTGCGTGGGTCCAGATAACCCACACCTGTGTGTGCATGGATCCAGGTGACCCACACCTATGTGTGCGTGGGTCCAGGTGACCCACACCTGTGTGCATGGATCCAGGTGGATCCTGCCTGAAAGGCAACATGAAAGCTGAGCTCTCATTGGTCCAGCTGATTGTTTATATTTGTTGTTTCCTCTTCAGTAACGTGTCTGTGTTTCAGATCCAGGACGCCATCATCGTGAACAGCACCGTCAGGCTGAGCATCGACAACGCCAGACTCGCTCAGGATGACTTCAGAATCAAGTCAGTTTTTACTTCTTCTTCTTTAATGTTTTTTTTTTTCATCGTACTTGATGTGATTTACTGTTTCCATCCAGTGAAAATATTGAACAGCAGTAGAGCGCCCTCTGCTGGCTGCAGGTTAAACTGCAGACTTTTATTTTAGACTGATTTCTAAACATTACATTTAAACTTTTTAAGTTTCGGATACCAGAATCCAGTTTGACAGATTTCAGTTATTAAATTACATTATTTTTATCTCAATTTTTTAAAATCTTTTTCAAAGTTTTATTTCTGAATTTGAGTAAACAGATTTTTTATTGTTTTGATTTTAAACTTGCTGCAGGTACGAGAACGAGCTGGGCATGCGTCAGTCAGTGGAGGCAGACATCGCCGGGTTGAAGATGCTGCTGGGAGAACTGGGCGTGGCCAAGACCGACCTCACCATGCAGATCGATAGCCTGAAGGATGAGCTGGAGACCATGAAGGCGAACCACATAGAGGTAAACAGAACCAGAACCATGTTTGTGGCACCACAGTTTGAGGACCTGGACCTTTAAAGGAGACATTTGAACCCCTCTCCCCTTCTGCAGGATCTGGCCTCCATGCGCACTCAGGTGAGCGGACAGGTGAATGTGGAGGTAGACGCTGCTCCTCAGGAAGATCTCACAAAGGTCATGGAGGAGATCAGAGAACACTACGAAGCTGTCGCTGCCAAGAGCCGAAAAGAGCTGGAGGGCTGGTTCCAGGCCAAGGTAGGAGACGATCCAGGTAGAAGTCTGTGACAAAAACCATCAGGGTCTCCTGAAGCTCACCACATTTTCTCCCCACAGTCTGAAACACTCTCTAAGGAGGTCGCCACCACAGAGATGACTCTGAAGACAACATCCACCGAGGTGAAGGACATCAAGAGTCAGCTTCAGGCTCTGGAAATCGAGCTTCAGTCCCAGCTCAGCATGGTGAGTCCCAGAAAACCCTGGGTCCAGAGGCACTTTTTATCTGTTAAAAGATGTAAACTGTAGAGGACTGAGCACAGAACCCTGAGGAACCCCATGAAAACCCTGGGGCCAGAGGTACTTTTTATCAGTTAAATGTATAAGCTTTAGAGGACTGNCCAGAGGTACTTTTTATCAGTTAAATGTATAAGCTTTAGAGGACTGTGCACAGAACCCTGAGGAACCCCATGGCTGGGGCTGTAAAAAGCTGTTTGAATGATTCAGAGCAGAGATGTAGAGAAAGTGAGATCTGATCGAGTCCTACAGAGCAGGTGTCCACTGAGAACCAGAGACCTTCCTGCTTGATGAAAAAAACCATTTCTCTGTAAAACACCTGTGGACGTCTTGTTTACCTGTCCATGTCTCCTCTGACAGAAAGCGTCTCTTGAAGCTTCGCTCAACGACATCCAAAGGCGCTACGCTGAACGCTTAGCAGGCTTCCAGATGCAGGTGAGCTGGACTCTGGTTCCTTCCTGTGTTCAGGTGAGACCATGAAGCACAGCACTCACACAGTTTACCTGTACAGGTGACCATGTTGGAGCAGCAGCTGGTAAGTCTGAAGGCAGACCTGGAGAGACAGGGACAAGAATACCAGATGCTGCTGGACATCAAGACCAGACTGGAGCAGGAGATCGCGGAGTACAGACGGCTGCTGGACGGAGAGGCATCAGGAAGCCTGTCAGGGTAAGATCTGAAGGTCTGAGGGACACTTCACACCTGTCTCAGGTGGACAGCTCATTTATTCATCTTATAAAACACACATTAGAACTCACAACCTTCTCTGTGCTGCTGCAGGTCCTCCTCCTCTTCTTCCAGCTCCACAGTCACCAAAACCATGGTGACCAAGGTCATCGAGACCACAAGCTAAGAACCAATCACACGCGTCTGTCTGACTGGGGGCGGAGTCAAGTCTCTGCCTGTCGTCTTCCTGCTTTGCTGAAATAAGGAGCACCTTCACCTGAGGAGGAGCATCTCTCACCTTTCACCTGTTTCCTGTTACAAATTAAAGCAGTTAGTTTAAAGATCTGAGGGGAACCGTTCATCAGAACCGGGTTTATGTTGGGAAAACTGTCCTGATCTTCCACCAGAACGTCTGTCTTTAAAAATAAAACTTTAAAAAAACTCAGATGTCTCCTTTTGATTGAAGCCTGAATGAAAGTTTAAATATTTCACTCCAAAGGAAAAGTTTTATAAAATGTGCTGAAAACTTCAGCTGAAAACTTCAGCTGAAAACTGCTGAAACTGAGCTAAAAATGTTTAATAGGACAAGTGTTAATGTGAGCTCACTTTGAAGGAAGCTGAAAGAAGCAAAAAAAAGCCTAACTTTGCAGAAAAACGGTAAAAAGGAGCACTAATCTAGTTGAAAACAGAAAACAGCTAAAAGCTATGAGCTAAAATAGCTGAATATAGCTGAAAACATCTGTAAGAAGCATAAATAGCACTAGGTAGCAGAAAAAAGCAGAGAAGATCTATAGCTAAAGAAAAATAAAATTAAATAAATAAAATAGCTAAAATTAGCATAAATAAGCTAAAGGTAGCAGCCATAATTTGAAATTAGCACCCAGTTAGTTGAAAATTAGCTAAAGCAGAAAAAAAAGGCAGAAAAACCATAAAATTACAAAAAATGAAATAATTTGTAGTAAAATGGCTAAAACAGCTGAAGTTTTCAGTAAAAGTTAAAACATAGCTGGAGTTATTTTTAATTAGCATAAGGAGCACAGGTTTGCTGAAAAAAGCTGTAATGTACCGGTAAAATGTAAATTTAGCTTAGAAAAGCTAACTTTAGCTTATAGCAGCTTAACATTAGCTCAAATTTCAGCAAATAGCTGAATGTAGCAGAAAGCATCTGTAAGAAGCATAAATAGCACAAATAAAAGCACAAAAAGGTAGAAAAATGCAGAACAGCAGAAAGAAGCAGAATTTTAGCTGAAATAGCAGGAAGAAGTTAAAATAAACAAAAAAGTAGCAAAAATTAGCACAAGAAGGTGAAAAAGAGCACAACCAGAACAAAACGTGTGAGGTGCTGTAAAGATTTTAGAGGATTTTAAGGAAAACATCTCCATTCATTTTCAATGGAAGAAAAGTGGCTAAAAAATGTGAAATGGCTAAAAAAGTATAAAAAGCTAAAATACCAAAAGTCATAGCAGCCCTCACATGAATGAGCTGAACGTTTTGATATATAAATAGTTGAAGCAGCACAAACATTGTGGAACGAGTTAGATGCTGACAAACGTCTGGAAGAATGATTGTGAAGCTTTCACACAACTAGAACCTGGTCTGGGTCAGAACCTCCCATCTGGTCCACTTTGAACCTTCAGGTTCAGCTTTATGATGAGGCTCATATTTAAGAGGGTTTGTTGGGACTGAGGGAGTTCTGGGTCCTCATGAAATGCACCAAATTAAAACCTAAACTTGAAAACAACAGCTAAAAGCTTAAGGTAGAAAAAAGGCTAGATCTACCCACCCC